TTTGGAGTGTGACTGTTTGAGGTCAAGTATTTCCTCTTTTGTCTATTAAATTCATTCTTGGCAACTCCAACATAAAGAGGTTTTTGGATAGCGGGGCTTCAAGGAATTTCAAACATATTGCTTTCTTTCAGGTAACTTATGGCTCAAGATCACCTGCCTAGCCTTATTCGATTTCAACTAATACATTCTTAGTAGATACATCACACCCATACCACACAAGGAGCTCACAATATGCAATGAAATCAGAATCTGTACACCTATACATGACTGAAAGTAAGGCTGAAGTTCATGCCAAAACCATTGTCCATTGACCATTGTCTGTGGGTCACTGTGGGTGAGGAAGTAAAATTGTTGGGTCCTTTGCTATATTAAGTGTCTAAGTGAGCATTCTCATCTCATGGGTTGCACTGTGCTGTTGAAAAATAATTAGATGGGGAAAGGATCACAGGTTGTTTACTTCAAACTGTCTGCAGAAGTAAATATTGAGTAGGCGGGAGGCCATATGTTTGCAGTTTGAATTGTGTTCCATGCACTTTATCATGTACTTTTGTGAGATTATGTTGGAATTTGTTTTATCAGTAATAGTAATGCACTAGGCAGGTGCACCCCCTATTTTTGCTTTTTGTCAGTTTGGTTTGCCTTGATCTAAAGTGGGCAACAAGGTTGAAGTGGTGTCCAGGCCTCCTTTTGGTGATTGTCATATATCTGGTTCCAAAAGAGAGACGTGGAGCTGTTGTTGGGCCACTAATTGGTCCTACAGGATTGAAGATCCTTCCACCTGTAACACTAACAAGAGTTATTTGTTTGACAGTCAAACTGCAGGCATAACATATATATGGTATGATTGGATTTTAAAAAAAACAGCAGTCAGAGGAAGGAAAGTCTCTGATGACCTTTTCAAAAGTGTTAGTAAAAGCCAGTTACAATTACTGCTAGTTGGTCTGAAGCATGGTGCTCAATTATACCTTGTGTCTGTAGGTTAACTGGAATGTAAGGTGTTTTTTTAACATATTTTGTATTATATTCTAGTTTACAAAGTAACATTATATTTTGCAGGTGTGAAAGTGATGACATGTTTCACATTGAAAGCAGATTGGACGTAACACTCTTCTGATTCCGCTGTGTGATGAGACACCCATCTAACACATGGGAAGGCTCACTTTCGTCATTCACTGCGTGCGCTGCTAGTAATACTCAGTCATGTCAGAGCTTACAGAGATTCAAAGAGAGCAAATTGTTGGTGCAGCTTAGCTGGTGCTTCTGTGACTAAAGTTGACAATTTATTGAGGTGCAGTACAGTATCTAAAGTTATGATGTCATATACAGTTCCTGGGAAAATGCCATCTGATAAGCATAAGTGTGGTCATCATGGTCAGCTGACCAAAAGAAACAAAAGGACATTGCACAGGATTATGACCCGCAATAAAAAAACAACTGCTGCAAAAGTGACTGCAGGGCTCAATCTCAGTCTTCACAGGACTGAGATTGAGCTCTGCAGTCACTTTTGCAGCAGTTTCAAAGTGAAACATGTTGTCATTTTCACACCTGCTAATCATGTAGTGTTTCCATTTTTTTGCCTATTAATTGACTTTGCAGCTTTTGGTCGCTAGCTATATAATTATCTCTTAGGTTTTTACTTTTGGGTATTGACTTTTGATTCTGCTGGCTGTGTCTCTTACTTCTATGCTAGGGGCATCTAAACTTCCAAGGTCAGTGGTTTACTGTATTGAAAGTACCATTTATTGATGTAGTAACAGGTTGTGACATTGCTTTGTTTGGACAGACTAAAGCATATCTTTTTATTGCTTTAATACTTTTAAATTTTTGATGTGTGATACATTTTACATGTGTAGCACCCTCCTAGTCCGCTAGGGGAGCTAGACTTTAATTATTAGCTAGAGGCTGAGTAGAAGCCCAGGTGCAATAATCAGAGGGGTTAAATTTCAATCAGGGCTATGAGGCTCTGTAGACCAGCTCACTGAGACTCCCCCTGCTCTGGAACTTTGGAGAAAGATCTAGAAGCAGTGAGTGGAGAAGAGCAGTGGCTGGTCTGTACTTTTAGAGGATCCTAGCCAATCCCCATCAGGAGTCTTGGCAAGGGACCAGGATAGCCTTTAAAAGTAGCTGAGCCTGCTCAGCAGAAGGAGAGTTTGGGTGGAAGACGGTGAGGAATTGAGCCCGGAGAGCAGGAGCCTGGGAGGGAACCCAGATGGAGAGGGGCTCACCGTCAGGCAGAGGATCTTGGAGGGAGGAAAGCTCAGGACGTCATCGGCCCCCCAGACAGAGGACCACCTATGCAGCAGGGAAGGAACTGCCCAGCTAGAAGGCCTGGTAGCAGCCACCAACCCACTAGCAGCACATGAGAAGGACTGAGTGAGTAAACCTGCACCCCCTGGGCCAATAAGGGGAAAGAGACTGTTCACACTTCAGTGGCAGGCACTGGATCCCCTGCCTAGAGATTCACCCAGTACAGCTGGATAAGGAGAGGAGTCATCTGGGGACTGGGGAGGTACAACAGGAGATGCTGACTAGCTCTCCAGAAGATTTTTTGTTATAAAGAATTGTACACAGTTGCTAAGGAATTATTCTCTGTTACTATTACCCTTGGGCATCCCATACACCCTTACGCTATCCAAGTTCTAAATCCCATAATAAAACTTCAAAACCAAGTTCAAGGACTGATTACTGTTTCCTTGATGCAAGTCTGTGTGGAAAATGCGTGTTCCCTGGCTGTGCAGGACTATAGGGGGACCCAAAACTTCAGTGACTCCTAAGGGGAGTAGTGCTACACATGGTCTCAGGTACAGTTTCTGGGAATCTGTACAACTTATCTTTCCTTTCACCCTTTCTGTCCACAAACTACATGAAAATAAAAGATACTCAAAACTACAAACAAATCTCCTGACCCCTACATCCAGATAGGGACATATAGATTGTCAATCAGAGACAGGCAGTCTAAAGGCAAGCATCTTCTGCTGTGTTTTCTCTTTATAAAACCCCAAAAGATGACTGAATCCTGATGGGATCACACTTTAATACATTTTTATTTGAAAAGAAAACAACAATAAAAAAAACATTAGTTTAAAAGTATAAAAACTGGATAGCGAAAAAGTTGAAAAAAACCTTCATACTTTTCCTTTGAAGAGTTCACCAATTCCATCAAACTGTATAACAAAAAATTCCGGACATGTCACAACATACAGCAGCAGTCCCATTTCTGAAAAAAAGCGTTTTTTCATTAAAAAGCGTCCTTGAGATCCAGTGACTTTGCCAATGGTGAGATGATATCATCAGTCTTCTGCAGTCAGGAAGATGCATTTTCTAAGTCTACTCTCCCCACTGAGCAGACTGCAATACTGTAACTTTTTAGGCAGTCCCAAGGTCGATCTGTGCCAGACATTCGTGAACACAACTAAAAACTGCACAGACACCAGAATTTAAATAATTGTGTCATCAATGAGCCAGCATAACAGACCAGGATGCATGTAGTGACCCAGGAGATGCTTAATAAAAATGGCAGTGTCATTCAGGAGAGAATAGTAGAAGAAGGCATTGTCAGAGAGCACTCCAATGTCTGTGAGAGGTAGTAAATACCTAGAAGTAGTATAATGTCGAGTGCACAAAAATATTGTCGCCTCTTTGTGAAATCTTTATTAAACCACAACAGCATACAGAATGTCCCCAACCCAGGATTGTCCCTCCTAGATGCTGTTCACCTTTATGGGCCTTTTCGTAAGGATCGTCAGTTCAAGGAGAGGGGAAGTTTATATAGGAGCCATTCCCACCCTTATGAATAAACCCATCAGGGCAAAGGCGGACTGACCATTTGGAAACTCAGGCAGGCCCAGAGCTTGGGGTCAGTAGGGGGCCCCATGGAATGCCCCTGGTACCTTTTTCATATGCTTTTTTGAGTTTGGGCAAGGACACAGGGGCCCTATTGCCTGGGGGGTCCCATGAGTTGTCAGTCCGCCCCTAAATCAGGGTGAAACACATCAAGGAGGATTGTTCGCTGGGCAGGGACACTCTGTATGCAATTTGGGGTTTAATGAAGATTTTTACAAAGAGATAACGTCATCAGTGTGTGCCGGCAATATACTGATTCTCTGTGATTAGGATCATGGAAGGGTTCCTTGGCCAGCACTAATCCAACAGTGGGAGAGAGGCATCAGTCCACAGTGGTGCCATTGGGTCTAAATACTTAGTATGCAGCCCGAAACATGAAAACTATATCTGATACGAGTTGAAAAGGTGCTAATCAAACCCTAACCCTCAAAAATATGAATACAAAAAAAAAATATTGCATATACAAATGGTATGATGAAAGTGGAACCAATTCAGTGCCAGATCAATACATAAAGTGCTTGTGCATTAAACAATAGTGCAATAATAAAGTACTTAACTTACGTATTTAGGACCTAGGAAGTTTGAGTTTAGGAAGTTAGGGATTAGAATTTTGCACAAAAGTTTTGAGATTTAGTATATCTGATGCCAGGTCTGCTTTATTGAAGATCAAATATTTACAACTAAAAAAATCTACCTGACAAAAGTTTTTGGAATGATGCCTTAAAATCGCTGTTCCTCAAGCTGTAGATGATTGGGTTCAACATTGGAATGGCTACCGTGTAGACCACAGAAGCCACCCTGTCCGCCTCCGCTGAGTGACTACTTCCTGGCCTCAGGTAGATAAAGAATAAACTTCCATAGTATAATGTAAACACTATAAAGTGAGAAGTACAAGTAGATGCGGCTTTACTTCTGCCATGTTCTGGATGGATCTTAAGTAGAGAAAGGATAATGAAAAAATAGGAAACTATAACCACAAGAGCGGAGCCACCTTCATTGAATCCACAGAAAGTGAATAAGATCAATTCATTGATGGTTGTATCTGAGCAAGAGAGTTTCAGTAAAGGTGGCATATCACAGAAAAAGTAACTTATTTCAGTCTTACAAAAAAGTCAGGCGAAAGGTAAAACAAGTGTGAAATAGGGACTGGATGAGACCGTTCAGATAAGCCCCACTGATGAGCCAGGCACAGAACCTTGTGGTCATGATGGCTGGATACCTCAAAGGATTGCAGATGGCAAGGTATCGGTCATAAGCCATGATGGCAAGGAGGACACTCTCTGTTGTAATCAGCACTGCAAAGAGGAACATCTGAACCACGCACCCCGTATACGTGATGGATTTGTCTTTCATTAGGAAGGTAGAGAGCATTTTGGGAGCAATTACTGTAGAATAGATAATGTCTAAAAATGCAAGGTTTCCTAGAAAGAAATACATCGGCTTATGTAGGATGGTGTTAAAGAATGTAACGGCTATAATGCAAAAATTGCCCAACAGTGTGAAGACATAGATCACGAGAAATACAATAAACAAGATGACCAGGATATCATTGCGGTTAGTAAACCCCAATAGGATAAAACCGGTGACTACTGTTTGATTCATCCCCATTGTCATCAAGTTTCATGTAGTCTTTCCTGTTCTAAAGGATCCCCTACAAAAGAAAAATTGCGTAAAAATGCATGAAGTTCATTTTTATTTCCATTTAGGTGAAGGTTTTAGGTTCACTTGGTATCAGGTGTTAAAGGGGTGAGACCACATGTTAACACTAAATCTGCATAAAGGTAAACTCAGAAATGTAATGGTTAAAGCAGTATTGAATCATTCAGTGTTTTTAAATGAATACATTGAGCATATTCCTCAGTAAACAATGTGTTAAAATTCTTACCCCAGCTCCTGCTCTCTCAGTGCTGCTATCCTGAACTTCAGGTCTTAACAAGAACAAGTTAACATTGGGCACTACAGTCTGCAGTTTTTTTTTTTTTTTTTCAAAAAAACATTTTTATTAGAAGAAACAAAGGGGGTATAACAGGGCACATACAGTTGTGGATCCAAATCTGAACAGAACACAGTATGTCACTTCCCAGTCAAAGCTTAAAAAGCAATACAGATCAGAACAGTGTAAGACATTATGACATCATAATAAAGTGATCAAGCAAATATACAAAGTATATGAAATAAGCAATGAGATGGATTGTCTTCTGACCTATGAGCAGGTTTCTATAGGGAGTGTGAAGTGTGGAGTGTTGGGTAAGAACAGCACATGACGCGGTGTCTGTTATGGTTCCTGTGTCCATAAATTGGATATTTGAGTTAAGTGGAGCAGGGGCGGACTGACAACTCATGGGGCCCCCGGGCAGTAGGGGATCATGGGGCCCCTGTGTCCTTGCCCAAACTCAAAAAAGCCTATGAAAAAGGTACCAGGGGCATCTCATGGGGCCCCCTACTGACAACGGGCCCTCGGGTAGTGCCCGAGTTTCCAAATGGTCAGTCCGCCCCTGAAGTGGAGTATAGCACACCTGTCAGTTTGTTAGCTTGAAGAAGGGAAAGGTAGGAGGTGGAGGGGGGAGCAGTGCCTCATCCTAGTCTATGGGACTGTGTGTTACTATTAGCGTTGCCAACCTCCCGAAGAGAAATTTACTGATAAGACGCCAAAGATTTACTGACAGCACTAATTTTTGTACTGCTAAAACACATGACATTTACTGACAGAGCCAAATTTCTTTACTGCCACTTCAAAAAAGTACATAAAATAACCGTTTTCAGTGCAAATATCAATATTTAAGCTACAAACATAAAGCTAGTGCTATTAGCAATTATTAGTGTTTAAGGTATAACAATAGACAAAGCACATACTTCTCCATTTACATCATAGTCAGGTAAAATAACCCAACACAGAGTTCCCCCTTACACCAGAGCACCCCAACCAAGTTCAGCATGTAATAAAGCATCAAAAGGCACCCCAAGACTGATCAATGAGCCATGAGATCAAGTTGGAAGGAGAACCTGGGACAAACTAACAGGCCCATCAGGGGGCTCAGGCTACAGCTGCATTCAATTTAGGATCACTTGGGCTCCGGACACAGCTGAAAGCTACCAAATTGCTTAGAACATGGCAACCTTGCTATAATAGTTGGAACAAATGCTTCAAGTTAAAAGCATACGTGACATTTTTGCAACCCCTGGTTCATTTACAGAAAGGAAAACTCAGTACAAAGTGTGCTTTGGACTGTAATCCTTCCTTGGCCCTTGATAGCAATGGCTTACATTTTTGGATGAACTCTACTTCTGTTAAATTTCTCATCTGTCCAGGCCCAGGCCATTGCTAGCTAGTAGTAGTTGTTTATAATCAACTAGACTTGTTCTGTAATGTAAGGTGTTTTGCTTTTCATTTGAATGGCTTCCTCAGGTCAAATGTGTTGGGAATATACCTTACATGAGCAAATCAGTCATGTTAGTTGCACCTTGGATTAGTGAATTGTCTAAACAATTACAGTTTAATAGTACTAACTGATACTATCTATAATAGATTTTCTCAATCAGGGTTTCTCTAGAAGTCCCTAGGGGTTCCTAAAGCAATAGGCAAATTCTGACTCTTGGATAAATAACCACTGACACCAATTATCTTTTTAGCTCCTATGTTTGGCAAATATATTTCCTCCTGTTCAACGATGCAAGTAGCGTTTTTCCCACAATGTAAAGGACATTGTTCTCATCAGTGTAGGAGCCCTTGTTTCCTATTCACCACTAATATAAAGACTCTCGTCTTCTACTTACCACAAATATGAGGGACCCCTTCTCCCATTTATCACCAATATAGGGGCCCACTTCTCCCACTGATCACCAATATAAGAGCCCATTTCTCCCACTGATCACCAATATAAGGGTCATCTTCTCCTATATCACCAATATAAGGGTCCCCTTCTCCCACTGATCACCAGTATAAGGGTCTCATTCTCCCACTGACCACCAATATAAGGGTCTTATTCTCCCACTGACCACCAATATAAGAGTCCCCTTCTCCCACTGAGCACAATATAACGGTCCCCTTCTCCCACTGATCAACAATATAAGGGTCTACTTCTCCCACTGACCACCAATATAAGGGGCCCTTCTGTGAATGATCACCAATATAAGGGTCCCCTTCTCCCTGAGCACAATATAAGGGTCCCCTTCTCCTACTGAGAACAATATAAGGGGCACTTCTCCAACTGACCACCAACATATAGCTCCCCTTCTCCCGTGGATCACCAATGTATGAGGCCACTGCACTGACCACCAGTGTAAAGGGGCACACAGCTTTTTTAAGATAAATATTAAATGTTGCAAATAAAATGATGTAATGTTTCATGAAGGCAAGTGATTGAAACTCTCAGGTCCTTTACAACTGCTGTACAGTTTCTCATAATGCTGTTAAAAGCTGATGTCCAACAGCTCCTGTTCTCTTATCATCATGGCTCTTTCCAAAATTTTTGCCAAACAGGCCAGCTGCTCATCCCTTTGATAACATGCTCGGGCACGAAAAGCGTCAGGGAGGAGCCTGCCATAGTGACGTCACGCCACAGACGGCCGCATGGAAGGCCGGTGGCCATTTTAAATATCTCTTTATACATGTGAGTGCTCAGTCTACATTTTTTACTATTTATTTTCCTCAAATAATAAAATACTACACTATTAGTGCTTCATATATCTCTGGCTTGGTTTATACGAGCCCCAAAGGTGGAGAAATCCCTATTTCTATATGAAGTTTGATCCGGTGGTCTGACGCTTACCTGGAGCTGTCCCTGGGAGCTGAGAGTGTCCTGTGAGTGATTGGAGTTGCCTTGTGTGCCTATGGTTTGCCAGATGATTCCACCATCCTTGCCTACACCCTGATGACTATACTTGGATACTATACGTACATGCGCATATCTTTTGCGCTTCTGGTGAGTGCATTCACATTACTAGTCTACGTCACAGAGATCACTAGCACGGAGCACGGATCACTTTGAAATTTGGACTTTTTTTATTTTGTGTATTTAAAACGCACTTCAGTCACTTTATATCAGTTGCTTTTATTAGGCACATGCGTCATTTCATGGCGGCTCACTATCTACATTTGTACCGCTTTTAGCGCTTTACAGCGCCCACATTATTATTATTAATAATTATTATTTTATTACTGTCATTTTAAGCGCTGCATTTATATTTATTTGATTATTTAGAGGTTAAGAGGTTTTACCGTTAATGCCAGCTGCTGAACTAACCGTGCGCTCACATACAATCCTATTTTATACATAGGCCAGCTGCTGTGCTGTCTCTTCTACCAGCCCACAGTGCTGTGCAAATCTTTTGTCATGTATTAACTGTTATTTGGAAAACAAAGAACATATACTATATTTTACATTTATTTTGCCCAATTATATCTTTACAGATTCTTAATTTAGGGGTTTATTTGTAAATTTTTTTCACCAAGATTTATACAACTTTAACCCAAGATCAACACATTTTACTAATTGAATTGAAAATGTATAAATCTTAGTTAAATGTTTTGTAAATCTTGGGTACAAAAACTGATCAATAAACCAATTCAAGTAAATCACTAGCCAAAACATTTTAAACAGAGTGATGGAAGCAATGCCGGGACAAGGTCATCTAGAGCCCAGGGTGAGCATGCCAAATTGAGCCAATTCAAGCCCCACCCCCGACAAAGATGTATAAGTATTATCGATCAGGAAAAACAGAGTACTAATCTGCATGCTTACTCCCTAAGCATGAATTGCTCCTCCTCCCAGTACAAATCCACCCCTCTGCTGAAATCCCCCTTTCCAGCACAAATATTTGACCCCCCTTCCACCCATCTCAAATCCTCACTCTCCCTATATGCAGCCAGCACAAATCCCCCCTCAAAAACCTTCGCCCTCCTAGCACAACTCCTCCCCTAAAATGTTTTTTCCCCTTCTAGAATAAATCCTCTACCTCTCAAATTTCCCCTCCAAGCACAAATCCCCCCCACTCCAAGTCCCCCCTCGGAGCACACATTTCTTTCCCCAATTCCCCATCCTAGCCCAAATCCCACCCAAATTCCCCCTCCTAACACAAATATCCCCAATCATCCCAACTAGCACAAAATCTCCCCCACCCAAACAATGTCCCCTATTAGCACAAATCCCTTCCCCTTTACCATATCACCTTTTCTAGCACAACCCCACCCCCCATAGCACAAATTATTTTCCCACTTTTGCCCTCCCAACACAAATCCTGCCAAATCACCACTCCTAGCACACCTCCCCAAATTTCCCCTCCTAGAACTATTCTAGGGCAGCATCCCCTCCTGACCCCCATTGTCCAGGCCCTGGATGGAAGGATTACAATGTCTTTCAAGTCTTTATTGCTGTTTGGGTCTCCAGCTGGCAGATCTCTTTATTTCTTGTGTGGTCACCATAAACATAATAGAGCAGACCTGTTTTTAACGTAGACAAAATCAAAAATTTGTTAGCATTAAATGTTAAGTTCTTAGCCATGAAAAGGAAGTAAAGGGAGAACTAAGCCACCTTACTCACATTTCTAAATGTACCAACCTGACGAAGTCACATAGGTGAAGCATGACACAGACAGACAAAGACATCAAA